TAGCCCCACGGCACTAGGACAGATGCCAGGCTCAGTGCATCAGGTACGTCAAGCTGGAGATGTAGTCTTGGTGCTAACCCGGAGGCTGAGTACTTCCCAGGCTCCTTTGCAGGACCGATCAGTGCTTATTATTAGCTTGTGCATTACTGAGATTACAGGTCCACTCGGCAGACACCGATTCTGCATTTGGTTTAGCACTTAGTACTTTGATGCTTATTAAAAGAGGGCCGGCATCATCTCAGACTAGACTTTTCCTGTAACTTGTAAAAGAAAGTAACTCTTATGGGGTTGGTATAGGAAAGCGTCTACTTTCTCTCCTTCACTTAACTTTCTACCGTCTCCCTAGCCAAGAAAACAATTTCCCCCCTCAGAGGAACTTGGGTAAGTAAACACCATGGACAGCAGCATGGACCTTCCTTGGTGTGCTGCATGGGAGTGAGTGGATGGGCTGTTCACTCAGAGAGATCTGTAGTCCGGACCTCTCCTGTATGGGTCAGTCTTTACCTTCCTAACAGGTCTCCTTTGGTTGTTGCCTAGCACACATATTACAAATGGAATCTGACATACCTATGATGTTTCTTCATTCTGTCTGAGACTGTGCTATCCTCAGATGTGATCTACACCGGGCTTCTTGTACTCATCTGGGACCAGTCCTGCTGAGACCCCTCGACTGTTTGGAGGGTGTCTTTTGCACTGACTGGTTGTACTATACTGTGGCAATATTTTCCCATTCTGGGCAGTCAGGAAAATGGGAGCAGCTTGCTTGGCCCTTGTGAACCCAATCTGTTCTCTTGTTCTTATGTGCTACTGAGTTGGTTCTTACTCTTAGTAACCGTATATAGGATTTTAGAAGAGCGGCTGGTAGGTTTGAACTGCTGACCTTATTTCAGTCCAGTGCTTATCCTGCAGGGCCACACCAATCTATTCTGTAAGTAGCATTAAACTAGTTTTTCTTGCATTGAAGGTGCTGGCTGGTATGGGGAGAGTGCTGTCAGGCAAACAGGCAGTCCCACAGAACAGCAATGAGCGGCCCTGGGCTAGAAGTAGGGACACCTGGGATCTTTTCCTCATTCTGTTCCTTGTCTTCTCCACATTGAAGCCATAGTACCATTTGTGCACCCCAAACTAGCCCCCCCCCCCCCCCCCCCGCAGTCTGTAAAAGAGGTCAGGAGTGTTTGTCAGAGGAGCATTTACAACATCTGTGCCCTCTGAATGCTCTCTGGCAGGAGTTGTTTTGCTAAAACTTGGTATGAGCCCTGGCATTTTAAGCAGGTTTGTTGGCACGAGACTGGCTACTAGCAGCAGGAATAGAGCATCGTGTCTGTCTAACTTGGATTCGGCCTGGAGGACTCACAATCTGTTTTCTTTTCCTGCAGTACCAACTACCCTGTGCCTCCCTGCTCAAGGAGGAGAGTTAAAAGCTAGGCTCTGAGCTCACCCATTCCATTCCCCTGGTCCTTGCTGCAGACCTTTCTGCTGAAAAAGCCAGTGAGCCTAGGGCAAGTGGCTTCCTAAGCCGGATGCTTATTTGGGAGGCCACAGGCCAAGTCCCTGTTAATTAGACAATAACTAAATAACTCAGTTGGAAATTGGATTATCATCATCCAGACTTTCCACATTGAGAGAGGAACTCATCACTGTTTGAAGGTAGTCATTAGCAGCACAGTGACCTTGCTTTTATAATCTAGGCTTCTGCCAGGTAAGAACTCGGAAAAGGAGATTGTGCTGCTGCAGATGATGATTTTCTCACCTCAAAGTTTCTGCCCAGTGACATTTTACACCAAAAAACCTCCCCTACACACACACACACACACTCCATTTCCTTTTGTGACTACTTCCTCATGTTGAGATGTACCTGAGTATTCTGTGTGTACTGCTGGGTTACTTATTAGTTATTGGATCTGAGCCCCCAAAGCAAGGTATGTAACTTTAGGGAGCTAGCTTACTTCAGGCACAGCCAGTTCTGGGGAGAGGCTTTTGATCCATCAGCCACCAGCCTCCCAGCAGTTGGGAAATGAGTGCCTCCATCCTGAAGGGGAGAATCCACAGCCTCCATCCTCTCCAGAACTCTCTGAATGTGTCTCCTGACTACCTGCCACTGCTCCAAAATAGCTGAATCAGAAACTCGTGGGGTGGAGTCCAACCATATGTGCTTTAACAAGGCCTCCAGGTGATTCTGATGCATGCTAGAGAACCGTGGAATTACAATGATGTCATTAATTTTGGAACATTATAAAAGCTGTTTAAATGTTAGGCATACACCAATCATATGACTCAGTCCTTCCCGCCCTCAGTATTTAACCGAGAACTGCAGGCTGATGTCCAAGCAGAGCCCTTCGTAGCAACTGTACCTCTAGTAATCTAAAACAAGAAAAAACTCAAAAGGCCATCAACAGGTGAGTGGATAAACAAACTGTGATCTGTTTACGCCTTGGAATACTACTAGTCAGCATTAAAAAGGAATGTCCTGATATATACCCAACAATGTAGTGTAGTAGATGAATTTCAGAATAATTATGCTGAAAGAAGCCAGACCTTATGAAAATCATGACCTCATTTATACATATAAGTCTAGAAAATGTTAAGAATTCTATAGCAGTTCAGTGGGTGAATAGGATTATAAAGGAAAAGGACATGAAATTTTTGGGGTGATATGTTTACTACTTTGAGATCATGATTTCTATAATATATACTTGTGTCAAAACTCATCAAGTTGTAACTTAATCAATTTGTATATCAACTTCAACAGAGCTGAAAAACTTTTTTTTTTTAAATGTGATGGTTACTTGGGGAGGAAAAGGAAAAACAATGCTCTTAAATGTTGTTCATGGTGCTCATTGTTATCACATGAGTCAAATAAGAGGACAAATAAAACATCCAGTTGCTCTCTTGTGAACTAGTGCTGCCTGTCATTGGTATTCACTGTTTACACCATTGCTTGTGGTGAAGCTGCCCCCTTGTCTAGCTGTCATCCCATCTGAACTCCAGCACCTGACTTTGACTTCTTTCCCAGTATTCACCTTTCCTCAACCATGTGTTGCAGTCATATGGCTGCTTACCTTGGCTTCCTTCATCTTGCTGAGCTGGAATACCTCTAGTCCCTCCCTCACACTGCTGAACTCTGAGTAAGGGTATGTGAAAGAAACTCTACTCAGTTTTGCATTACAGGCAAAACTGCATTCTTAGACCATTCTGCAGTGCCTCATATTTCATTGATGTGTTCTGGCCTCTGAAATTTGTCTTTGCTACTGCCAAAACTGTACTTACAACATTTGTCACACCATGGCTATATGTCATTAACAGAAAGCTGAGAATTAGTTTGACGTTCTTATTGGAACATTCTTTAAATGCACATCTTGAAATATTTAGCATGCCTTCCACTTCCAAGACTTACGCTAGTCAAACTCAATTTATTAAAAACAAAACCAAGAAACCCAAGAGGAACTCTTTTGAACTTCCTATTGGTCATCTTCTTGTCTTCTTACAGGTCTGATTTGTTTCCGCTATAACCAGCACTCTTCACTTCAGACTTTTGGATCCAGACCAAGGGCTCCCTAGTGTATTGGAACTTTCTCAGCAAGTGAGTATCCCCTGCACCACACCTCTGTCTGTTGAAGCTGAGGATGTTTTCATTAGACTGAAATCACATCAGCATACCCTGGGGATGGATAAGCATAATAAATCCCAATGGGCACAGGCTATAAAATAGCATTGTGACTTTGCAGTGAGAAATTGGTATGTCTAAAATAACAGGAAACCAAGAATTTCTTTCTCTTTGTTACTGATATATTGTTAAGTGCCGTTGAGTCGATTCCGACCCATAGCGACCCTATACAGGGTTTCCAAGGAGTGACTAGTGAGCTTGAACCGCTGACTTTGCAGTTCAAACAGCTTTGCAGTCTGGTGCATTAATCCACTGCAATAGTGAATGTCTTTTATAAACACCATTAAAACAAAACAAAAAAGCCCATCTCCACTCCGTCGATTCTGACACATACAGTACTGAGTAGAGTTGCTTCTTAGGGTTTCGAGACTGTATCTTAGAACAGCAGCCTCATCTTTCCCCCACAAACGCTATATTAGAAAACATTCAGATATTAAATGAATTTGAATCTCCAACATACAAGCATCTGAAGCCAGTGGGATTCACCGTGGCTTTTAGAACTGGTAGAGGAGAGAAGTTATTTAATCACATCCAGGGGTCTGGTCAGCTGCAGATGCTGTTAATTTAAGTTACCGAATGCTAGGTGGATTAGAAAGTGCTCATATATCACAGTTATGACAGGAAGTAGTTATTTATAAATATTAAAGGGCCACAGTGATCATATGTTCTGACATTTCTGACACTGATCCAATTCAGAATTTTTTCTGTCCATAAAGGCACCTCATTAGATACATTACATAATGTGGTATCATTTTTATAGCGCTGTAACATAGCTATGTTTAGAATTAGATTTCAGGGGGAAAAAAAAAAAAAAAGGCCATTGTAGCTGAGGAAGTAGGCAAGAAAGGCTGGGAGAATACAGCCACAGGGGGCGTCAGTTCTGACGCTTTCCCAGTCACCAGGGAACACCTTTAGGATGAGGAGACGTCTGCATGATTGTTGTTCAGGAAGCAAACAGTTTGGCATGTTTCTGTTACTTCCTTTTACTAAAAATAGGATGACTGTGCTTGGAGCTTTTTGTATAATCATCAGAGTTACGTTTTACATTGGTTTTATGTATTGTCGTTTTAGGCTACCCTTCCTAACTGTTAATCGATAGGAAATGATTGGTCTACATTCTTGAAAGAATGCACACTGAAAATAACTTTTTCTAATCCTTTCACCTTCCTATTCCACAACACTGCAGAAAGCTGTGATGAATCAATAGCATTTAAAATACTGACAGATAACTGTATTTTGCAGGAAGGAGACTAATTTCTGATTCCTTGGTGGAAGGAAAAAAATACCCCACTCTGGTCTGGCTTCCAATGATGCGAGTGTGATTGCCAGCGTCTTCATGAGCTCCAGAGGTCACAGCACACTACCACGAACTCTCATGGCCCCTCGGATGATTTCCGAGGGAGACATAGGAGGCATTGCTCAAATCACCTCCTCTCTCTTCCTGGGCAGAGGCAGCGTGGCCTCCAACCGGCACCTCCTCCAGTCTCGTGGGATCACATGCATCGTTAATGCTACTATTGAGATCCCTAATTTCAACTGGCCCCAGTTTGAATATGTTAAAGTGCCTCTGGCTGACATGCCTCATGCCCCCATTGGATTGTACTTTGACACAGTGGCTGACAAGATCCACAGTGTGAGCAGGAAGCACCGGGCCACCTTGGTGCACTGTGCTGCAGGGGTGAGCCGCTCGGCTACTCTCTGCATCGCTTACCTGATGAAGTACCACAGTGTGTGCCTGCTGGAGGCCTACAACTGGGTGAAAGCCCGGAGGCCTGTCATCAGGCCCAATGTAGGCTTCTGGAGGCAGCTGATAGACTATGAGCGCCAGCTTTTTGGGAAGTCAACAGTTAAAATGGTACAGACACCTTATGGCATAGTTCCCGATGTTTATGAGAAAGAGTCCCGACACCTGATGCCTTACTGGGGAATTTAATGCCACCAAAGCCTGCACCAGCAGTCCCTTGAGCAGTACCAGCATCTGCTATACACCGTCTGCTCCCCTCGTCACCTTTCTTTGCAAATGGTTGACTTTTTGGTTCTCCCCGAAATGTTTTTTACACGGGGTGTGGAGATTTATTTTAAGAGCTAGAAGGGATGGGAGGGACATGGGAATGCATACATTGCTAGTAACATTTTTTAAACTAACATTTTGGATAGTGTTTTGAAAATCTTGAACTGGCTTTTAATCATTTTTAATAATTGGAACAGTTTACAGACTGTTGGGTTAGGCTGTGTTCAGAGGCCCCAGCCTCTAGCAGCACTGTAGGTGCTGGAGGAGCGCAGTGCAAGCCTCCCTCGGGGTCCCCGTTAGCCCTGTAAAGACGACCAGCTTTGCCCAAGGCTGCTGACCAAACTGACACTTAGGGAAGACTGATACTAGCTTCAGTCTCTACTGGCTTAGTCCTCCTCTGACCCTTCCCCTTTCCTTTACTATCACTCTGTGAGTTACAATAAGAAAGCCTCTAAGAAATGAAATTAGCTGTTAAGAAGTCATAATGAAATCTGTGCAGAGACCCTCTTGGAATCATAATGAAATCTGTGCAGAGACCCTCTTGGAATCAATGTGTCCCAGGATTACATGAGCATTATTTTTAATAAATTTATCTGCTTAACATATATATTAGCATCTTTACTAATTAGAATAAATTGCAGTGTGTGTATGCGTGTGCTGATGGAAAACTCTCCAATAATTGTGTTAAAATTGCAAATGATAAAGAAGCCAACGCAGCTGAGTCATGCGACTGAGGGTGCTCTTCCATTCCCCTCGAGTGTTTTAGGTCACCCACTGGGAACCTGCCCACACAACAGAACCATTGCCACAGAGCTGCTTTTATTTACTTAATTTGCCAGGTAAGTTGTCGCTTGCTTACTCATGGAATAAATTTCTAGAACCTATAACTAGAACTATATATATATATATAGCATATAAGCCATATCAGACTTTACTGGTTGGTGGCAATGTTTCCGCCTCTACCTTCCTTTGTTTTACATCCCTTGCTGATTTTTATAAACACATGCATATTAAGTGCTGTGGAGTGGGTTCCTACTTACGGTGATCCTCTGTAGGGGTTTCCGAGGCTGTAAATCTTTGCAGGAGCAGAAAGCCTCATCTTTCTCCTGCAGAGCAGCTGGTGGACTTCAACCACTGACCTGGGGTTAGCAGCTGAAAGCTTATCCTACAGAGCCACAGCACTCTCATAAACATGCACAGTTACTGTCTATGAAGAAAAATCAAAGTTGTTGACAGGTTCTATGGAAAATTATGGGAAATTTTTTGTTAAGTGCCTTTGAGTCAGTTCTGACCCATAGTGATCCTGTATAGATTTTCCAAGGAGCAACTGGTGAACTTGAACCACTTACTTTGCAGTCCAGTGGATTTACCCACAGCACCACACCAGGAGTCCTGTGGGAAACTACTGTTAAATGCCATCGAGTTGGTTCCGATCTTGCTAAAGACCCATAAATGCTAGGTCATTACATGATCAAAACCAATCTAGAAGTTACTTTTAGTGTGAAGGCTGTTTTAAGTCTGATGACCTAAGTGGCTACTAACTTGAAGGTAGGCAGTTAGAACTCATCCAGTGACAGATGTTCTTGGTAATTTAGAGTATTTTCCTGTAGCAGTCCTGGTAAACATCACTATTTAGATGTTTTTAAGAGTGTGGCCCTGTGGGTTAATGTGCTGAACAAGGTCAGCGGTGCAAGCTTACCAGCTGCTTCTTGGAAACACCCTATACAGGATTGCTATGGTTCGGAACCGACTTGATGGCACTTAACAAGAATGTTATCACTGGGGAAGCCTTACATCTTTCTGGTATAAATGTTTTGGTTCCTGTTCATCCTTGTGATTTACATCTCCAAACCAGCAAGGGAAAGACTGAAGTCTAGTAGCTGTGACTTCTTCCACATTTGTTTCACTGTCAGCAGAGTTTTTAACAAGGTTACTTCAGGACAGGAGAAACTGAAAATATTATAGAAGCCAAGCTTTATAATGTTTAAATATGTCAATTAGGGCAACTGTACATTTAAATACAAAACAAAGAAGAGAAACTTTAAAAATACAGGACTACCACACAACACAAAAGGTGACCCATTTTCAGAGTTCACTGGTTAATACAGCTCCAAAGTAAGGAGACTCACACATAAACTATTTTTGCGAGCCATGTGATAATCACATCAAAATAATAATGGAATCAAGTAACACTTTTGTTATAATGGTATTTTGTTAGGAAAGTATTTGAAGTGGGATTTTTATCAGAAAGCTGGTTTTAGCTTTATTTCCTGGGCTTGGCCTAGTAAGGAAAGGGCTTACCATACTGCTGTTCGGTATACACTTTTCCAAAGAAATACTAAGAAACTTCAGCAAAAAACACCGAGGCCAAAGACGTCTTGCTCTGCATTCCAACATTTGCTGGAGCAAGTAGACAGGGTCTTTGAAAATGTCAAAATGTTTATGAGCCAGTCAGAGGCAGGCTTCTGACACAGAAGGTGTTCAGGGGGGGATTTGTGTTATCCCAGTGCAGAGCAAACATATCAAACTCTGTAACTAAAAGGCCCTACAACCTTTTCCAAGTTCAAAGGAAATTAGAAAGCATCTGTAAAAAAGATACAAAAAATGTGAAAGATTCAACCCACATGGAATGCCACGGGTAAAATAAAGCATGCACACTATCCTGATATAATGTCTTCTATCTCAAGCATGTCCAGACAAAAATTAAATTACACACTAAGCCATGAAAATTTTAAAGGCCAAATACTAAAAAAACCAAAAAACGTTTTTAATCACCACCCTGGCAGTGGGGTGAAGCTGCCTAACAATACATAGTATGGAAATAAGTAACCTTGGTTACCGTTTCCAAGGACACTGGGCTCCCAGCTAACAAGAGCTGAGGTGCCCTTGAATGCTACACTGAATTGTTTTAAGGAACATGTATAAATACAATCAATCAGAGCACAGTGGTATTCCACATTCCCCAAATCCTTATTGGTGGTATCTCATAAAACATTTCCCCTATTAATCAAATACTTAAAAAATACAAAAAATGAACACTTTTTATAGCAAGGGCTTTTTGTTGATGTCTGCAGAATGTTACTCTTGCACCTTCCAAGAAAAAACTAAGCTTACCATACAAGTCAGCAGAAATCACACTCAGAAATTTTATTTGAGGCATTCTGACAGATGTAGGAATGGAAACCAACCTGGTTGACAGGCGAGTATTTTAAACTGTCATCGACTTGGGCCAATGGCACAGAGCAACAGTCTATAAATCATTTGCAAAAAAAAAAAAAAAAGTTTCTGCAATATGAATTCTGTCCAACTGTGAGACATCGCAGTGGCAGATCTGTTATCATGACTCCATTATGGAATTTACAAGACTGATCAGAAATCTGCTCCGAGTCTGGTGCCACGTGAAATGCGGGTGCAGCTCAGAATGTGGAGCACAGAGGCTCCAGGGAGAGGCTGCTAGAAACCTGCCCACCTGTGCTATTGTTGCTAACATCCCACTAACCCTGTGGAGGGCAAAGGCTGACGGGACAATTCAGAGACAACTGTCTCAGGCATTAATAGCAGGCGACAGCGTCATCTGATGTCATCACTTCTCTGTGCATTCTGGTGCAAAACAAGGAAAAGCTGAAGCCTCATCAAGTACGGTTAATGAAATTTCTTCACCTTTCTTGGAGGAGATGGATGTGAAAAGTGTAAGAAGGAACAAAAATAGCATTCCCACGAGTTTTGTCCTGAGAGGGAACATAATTATGTAAAAGCAGCAACTAAATGGGCAGAATCACCTTTTTCAGCTTACAAATAGAACAAGTCTAGGGCAGCGAGCCAGATTCACACAGAGTGATGCACATCAGATTCACAATCTCTTCGTAATGCACATAATTGACAATTTAGAGAAATGTTTTCTAACATTGGTATGTTCTTCCAACTTGGTCCGTAACCTGCTGACATTTTTTTTTTTTTTTTCCTGCTGATTTTATGCATTCCGTTTTAATGGCAAAGAAATGCCCTTAACCAGAGATAGACAGCGGCAGCCTTTCCTTTCTAAAATTCATTGCTGTTTCTGGCAATTTCCTCCCACTGCTGCTAAGTCATGCACCATAAATGTACGTCTTACCATTCTCCTCACAGGCCGGAAACTCCATCTTCTAACCCTCAACTGAGTTTCAGAGTTCTCTCATAGGCAGTGCTGGTCCCTTTACAGTTATCTTTTTGGAGATTGGGAGAGAAACCGTTGCAAAGATACTTCATTCAGTTGCCTTTCCAAATCTTGTCAGAAAAATATCCCATGTTCGCACTCTGTGTGTGAGGTAAAACACAAGGTTTTCAGGGAGGGCTCCTAAAGGGAAAGACAGTCATTCTGATACAGAAGGATGTGGAGTCAGATAACACATCTGTCTCAGTCAAAAGAACTTTCTTCTCTCCTGCAAAGCTCCCAGGTGTCTTTTAGGAAACAGTTTTCTTGAGAGGTGACAGTGTTAGGAATAAAGGAAAGTAGAGAATTGATTCAGCTGTGATAGTAAAGTTGAGAAATCTGCCCACACCTACTAGCCTTTGTCCAATGGAGAGAAGCAGAATTTTTCTACAAAAAGATAAGAACATCAGTTTAATCACAATTCCCTCTTTTTATTCACTTCGGATATTAGCAAACTAGGTGCATGTAGATGCATTCTACTTCACAGGACATTAAGTGTTCTAGATATAGATAAGCACTGGCTTAAAGCAATTTTGCCAATTCCAGTCCTACAATAATTTATTTTTCTTCAAAACTCAATTCTTCACAGTTTCAATACTGCAGCAGCATTGTTCCTTAGATAAAAGAAAATGTGGTCCATATTTTAAAACATCTTACAAGAACTAGAGATAAGTTAGCAAACTTCTGTGCCACATGCATTTTAGGTAGAGCAATTTTATCTCAAATCCCAAAGGCTGGCAGTGGAAACTAGGGGACAAAGTTTGCCTTAGGAATGACTGGAGCCTCCAGAGATTATTTTCTACCTTTTGGAGAATTCTTCATATCAATTCAGAGAGACAATCTTTGTAATACTTGCATTCTGTTCATTGGTCCCTGTCACTCCCTGGAGGGCAATGGAAAAAATGAACAAACAGAAAAACTGGTTGGTGCTTCAGAGAGGAGCTCTTCAGAGCAAATCAGGTAGGATAAGACCAGGAGGTTTTGGTTCAACACAGTTGATCCAGAAGTTGGCGCAGCTGGCGTGATACTGGTGTCCTCCATATGCCAGCTTGAAATTGTCTGTTTCTGAGTTGAATGCCTGCCAGAAATAAACAGAAATGTGGGGCAAGTCAGACTTCAGCATCTCATCAGCAACTAACATGTACCCCTTTCCAGAGTCTGAGGCTGAAATGGCACACACAAAGATGCTGAGCAGACGGCTATGGGGTCAATGAGAGAGTGTTTTGCTGCTAATTAAACCCAGCTTCAGCAAAAGAAAAGTCAAATCTTTCACAAAAAAGGTAGACAGACACCATGGGAGAGTTGGGTGCTCAGGATCTGGGAAGCTAAAATGGCCAAAGCCTACAGAAAATTTTACCCCTCATTGTGCTGAAAGAAGCCCTCCTCTTCAGCTCCCAAGGGATTTACCATGTGGCTGATGATTATAGTCCTATTGTCAATGAAAAGCTAAGAGAACTAAAGAGCCATCGATACAAAGTCTTAGGGTCTAATGCCAGTAGGAACTGATAACTGATTTGACATCTTATTAAGAAATTCAAATAGGTAAAGGGTGTAATGAAAAATAAAACCATTAAACACATCTGAATTAGCTCCACATGCATAACGCTTATAGGACAGATACAGTGAGCCAGAGACAAGTGACCCCAATCTCAACCACTTTCTGGGGTTAGTTTTCTAAAGCACTACAAATAAATAAACCTCTAAAAAGGAAACAATTCGCTTTTGTCTGCTAATGGCCACATCCTGCAGTCTAACTGTCTGATCTCATTCTGGGTGCCCCTCTGCAACTTTCAGTATTCCAGAAGTTGCTCATTCTGTTACCTTGTGCCTAGCAGAGAAAAAGAACCACAAGGCCAGAAGCCAATTATGAGTTACAAGCATGCAAACAAGACAACGGTGGATCCACACAAACACGTTAGTTGATTAAATCAAACATTATGAGAACAAAAATGATTCAGTAAAGGATTCATGATTGGAACGGTTCAGAACAGCAGCGGAATCATCCGACTTGCCGCCCACACTCAAAATTAAGATGGAGGACGCTAAGATAATGTGTAACTGGTTCATACTTTTTTAGGATGTTCTTCTGCAGGCTTCTCTTCTTTCTGAAATAACGTTGAAACCATAAAGTGAATAAAATTTTCACACAGGGTGTCTTGCCTCTAAGCAAATCCTTCTGGGTGGAACCTTTTCTCTTTCCCACCCCCACTGTACACAGCATGCTGCAGGCACAGGACAAATAGCATGCCCCTTAGAAAACGGGAGACTCAAAGCAGCATCCCTCAGCAGCCTCCCCATGTGCCTTTCTGAAAGAACGAGCTGCTTCTGTGGTCCATCCTCTGGGCTTTCTAAAGCCTCTGGCTTTTCTCCTCATTCTTGTTAGAGTAGCACCTTACAGCCTTGCAGGGTGCAAACCTGTGACTTACCCGGCTCCTAGAGTCCACGTTTAAGAGGCACACTCCACAAGCAAGTTCCTGAGCATTTTTAATCCCAGGGCGCAGCATACAGGAGGAAAAATCCAGTGAATTTTCATCTGGCTGTGAAGATGACAAGACAAATGGGTAAGAAGCCTGCAATTCAAAATGCTGTTTGCTTCACTCCCTAGTCATTCCTCCTCTGTGGGTCCAGCAGCAAAAGTAGTACATTCTATAGGACTGCCAATGTGGTCATTCAGTTTCTCACACATTGAAGTCTGGGTGTTAGGGATACAGGCTTGGGTCAGAAACAGTCCCTGTCTTCTCTAGACTCACAGTCTAGAGAGGGAGCAGCATAGCTATCGGGCTATACAGGATGGTTAGAGTCATTCTAGGGGAAAGTAGCGGAAAGTTCAAGAGTATGTCCTAGAATTGAGTAGTTTGGGGACAGAATTCTGCTGGGAAAGCGGTGGAGTAAGACAAGACAGGGGAGGGAATAATATTCTATGTAGGACAAGCAGAACAGATGAAGACCACAACACAAATGACCCAGAGTGGAAAGAAATCTAGAGGGAGAGAGCCAAGCTTATGAGAGCAGAGGTGAAAGATGAGGCTGGGGAGTGGATGGCTTTGAAAGGAATAGAAGGGTTGAGACTGTTCTGGGAAGCCTGGAAAGGTTCTAATCGGAGCATGACAATCAAATTTGGAGTAGGGGCAGATCCCTCCAGTTGCAGAGTTGACAATGAATTGGGAGTGACAATCCTCATGGTACAGGCCTTGTTAGAAAGCAGTTGCAGCTTTCTAACAAGGCCTGTACCCTGAATATCCAGGAAAGAGATACTGAGGGTCAGATGAAGGCAGAAACACTGGGGAATGGAGAGAAATGAGCATATGAAGACCTGTTCGATATGCGAGGGGAGAGGCTAGGGCTCCTGAAATAATTCACTGTAAGGCAGTATCTGACAGGAATACCAGGCTGGCAAAGGAGTGAGGGTGAGGAGGAGATGCATTCAGTTTGGTACAACTGGGACAGCTATATTCGGCTATTGCATGTAAGTGAGAAGTTGGATACACAGGCCTAGCACTCAAGAGTGAGAGATCTGGAAGTTAGCAGCTAGAGCTAATAAGTCAGCACTTACTGGTTCACAGCATTATGCTCTACATGCACGATCTAATTTACTCCTCACAACAAATCTAACGATATGGAGAACATAGCAAAGTGCTTAAAAAGGGCAGGTACCAATGTTGGAAAGCTTGATCGCTTGAAAGTTAAATACACAACTACTCTATAAGCCTGCAACCCCACACCTACATTTTATTTAAGAGAAACAGAAAATCCACAAAAAGTCTTGTACAAAAAGTGTCCATAGCAGTTATATGCATATTAGCCCCAACTGGAAATAGCATAGGTGTTCGTCAATAGGTACAGATGGGGATTGATGAGCCTTGTGGTTTGCAGTATTTATTTTACAGTGTCACACTGGGAAATTTAGGGGTGACAAAAATACTCCACACAACAATAGGGGTGTGGGTAATAGTGAAACCACAACAAACGCATATTTGAGAACTTCATTGGTCTGTCAAAGACATGAGTGACTGAATCAGGTAACAGCCTCAAGTACTGCAGAATACAGTATTTCCCAATGTAAAGAGGAATGCAATGGCTACAGACAAGACACACTTTTAAGTTTAATCTGATTATCCCTATCTTTATCACTTTAAGTCTAGAAATCAACAAAAGGATAAATCAAATCCTGATTTATACAATTTGCTGATTTCTACGGTGTAAATCCACCATCTGTCAGTTTGTCATATTGTGATGGTTTATGTGTTGCTGTGATGCTGGAAGCTATGCCAACAGTAACTTAAAAAACCAACAGGTCACCCATAGGGGGCAGTTTTCAGTGGAGTTTCCAAACTAAGCTAGAGAGACTAAGAGACTAGAAAGAAGGAGAGGTGGACCACTTCTGAATGGGCAGGTACTGAAATTTTGTGAATAGCCGTGGAGCAATGTCAAATATAGTGCAGACAAATGAGCCCCTCAGGTTGGAAGGCACTCAAAATATGACCCGAGAACAGATTAATGACATGGATGGAGTAAAGCTTTGGGGACTGTCATTTGCTGATGGGGCACAACTCAAAATAGGAGAAATAGCTATAAACATGCATTAATAATTGGAACATGGAATGCACGAAGCATGAACGTAGGAAAATTACAAGTGAACAAAAATGAAATGGAACACATAAAGATTGATATCCTAAAGCATAAATGAGCTGAAACAGACTGGCATTGACCACTGTGAATCAGATAATCATATGGTTTACTATGCCAGGTACAACAACTAGAAGAGGAATGGAATTGACAAAAAGAGCCTTTCATGATCTATCTTGAAGTACAATGCTATCTATGATAGGATAATATCCATACACTTAACAAAATGACCAATTAATATAACTATTACTCAAATTGACACACAGCCATTAAAGCCAGTGATGATGAAATTAAAGAATTCTACCAATTAATTCTGTGTTGCAAGAATCCTCCTTAGAAGCCAGGATGGTGAGACTTTGTCTCTCATACTTCGGATATATTATCAGTAGGAACCAGTTCCCTGGAGGACACCATGCTTGGTATAGTGGGATGGTCAGCAAAAAGAGGAAGCCCCCCCACTGAGATGGGCTGGCCCAGTGGCAGCAGCGAAACAGCTGTGAAGATGGTGCAGAACTGGGCAGTGTTTCGTTCTGTGACACACAGGGTCACTATGCTTGGGAACCAACTCTTTGGCATTTAACAACACACACCCCCCCCAAATTCTTTAGGCTGAAATTGAACAACCATGCATTCAATATGCACTGATAATTACTGGTCATTAGAATGTGAAAGTTGAAAACAAAGAAGGATTAGCAGTTGGCCTTGGTGATGGAAATTATGCAGGAGATTATATAATGGAATTTTACAGGATGAGTGATTTATTCCCACCACTCATCTGTCAGTTTGTCATACTGTGGTGACTTGCATTGTTGCTGTGATTAGGGATAAAGCTACGCCATCAGTATTTTAAATACCAGCAGGCTCACTCATGGAGGACAAGTTTAAGTGGAGCTTCTAGACTAAGATAGACTAGGAGGAAGGAGAGGCGGACCACTTCTGAATGGTTAGTCACTGAAAGCCTTATGACCAGCAGCAGAACACTGTCAGAAATAGTGCCAGAAGATGAGCCCCTCAGGTTGGAAGGCACTCACAATAGGACTGGGCAACAGCAGTCTTGTCAAACCAGCACTGACAGTGATGATGCGAATGGAGTGAAACGTCCAGTATCTTCACTTGCTGATGGACCACAACTCAAAACGAATAGAAACAACTGCAAACATCCATTCATAATCAGAACATGGAATGTACTAAGTAAGAATCTAGGAAAATTGGAAGTTGTCAAAAATGAAATGGAAAGAATAAAGATCATACATTACTGAGGGAAAAATGGACTAGAATTGGCCATTTTGCATTTGACGATCATATGGTTAACTACACTGAGAACTACAAATTCAAGAGGAATGGCATTGCATTAATCATCAAAAAGAACATTTCAGTATCTGTTTTAAAGTACAATGCTGCCTGTGATAGGATAATATCCACACTCCTACCAGTTAATATGGAGTCCTGGTGTGGCGCTGTGGGTTAACGCGCTGGACTGCAAAGTCGTTTGAACCACAAGGTCGGTGATTCAAGCTCACCAGCTGCTCCTTGGAAACCCTATACAGGGTCGCTGTGGGTCAGAACCGACTCAATGGCACTTAACAACAACAACCAGTTAATATGGAGTCCTGGTGTGGCGTTGTGGGTTAATGCGTCAGACTGCAAAGCCGTCTGAACTGCAAAGTTGGCGGTTCAAACTCACCAGCTGCTCCTCAGAAACACTATACAGGGTCGCTATGGATCAGAACCAACTCGATGGCACTTAACAACAAGTTAATATTCAATTTATGCACCAACCACTAAAGTCGATGGTGATGATGTTGAAGACATCTACCAACTTCTTCCATCTGAAATTGATTAAACATGCAATCAAGATGTATTGATAATTACTGATGATTGGAATACAAAGGTTGAAAACAGAGGAAGCATCAGTAGTTGGCCTGGTGATAGAAACGATGCTGGAGATTGCCTGATAGAAGTTTGCAAAACCAATCACTTATATTCACTGCAAATGCCTTTTTTAAACAACATAAAAGGTTGTTTTATATACATGGACCTCACCAGACTGAATATACAAAAATCAAATTGACTACGTCTATAGGAAGAGACTATAGAAAAGTTCAGTATCATCAGTCAAAACAAGGCCAGGAGTTGACTGGAACAGACCATCAATTGCTCACATTTACATTTAGGCTGAAGCTGAAGAAAATTAAAACAAGCTCATGAGAGCCAAACTATAATACTGAATATATCCCACGTGAATTTAGAGATCACCCAAGATTTGATGCATTTGACACTAACAACCAAAGACCATACGAGTTGTGGGACGACATCAAGAGCATCATCCGTGAAGAAAGTCATTAAAAAATAGGAAAGAAATAAAAGCAATTGGTAAAAAATAATGAAGTGAGAGAACTGAACATAAGATTTCAAAGAGAAGCTCGAGATGAAAACTAAGCATTATAAAGAAATGTTCTGAACTTTCCCTGGGATTCTGCAAGAGCCTCCTCCCCTTTCCTCCTCCCCTCATTAAGAATATTTAAGTGTGTGTTAAACAACCACAGAATACTAAATAAAAAGTTTGGCCAAAACTAACCATGAAACTGCAAAAAAAAACCCCAAACTCCCTGTGATATGCAGATGATACAACCTTGCTTGTTAGAAGCAAAGACAACTTGAAATACTTACTGATGAAGATCAAAGTATTTCAATGTAAAGAAAACAAAGATACTTAAAACTGGGCCAATAAATAATATCATGATAAACAGAGAAAAGATTGAAGTTGTCACAAAGACTTGATTTTGCTTGAATCCACAATCAACACTCAGGGAAATAGCAGTCAAGAAATCAAACAACATATTGTTTTAGGGAAATCTGCTACAAAAGACCTCTAAAGTGTTAAAGAGCAAAGATGTCCGTTTGAAGACTA